TACTCGTTGCGGTTCAGGCCCACGTCCGCGCGATGTTGTAGGTTCAGGCAATGGAGGCACTGTTGGCTTTGCGGGCGTGCTGGATAGAGACGGAGGATGCCGGAGCACAGGACGGCGTACTTTGGTAGTGTGGGGGGCCCTCCATGATGAATAGCAAGGTCTTCGATTGTCCTAGGCGCCGGAAGCTAATCAGTTTTCGCCCTTGAATACGTAGTTCGGCTCGAATGAGGTCGTCTGTGAAGTTCAGTGGCACCCCGTGGATCACACCCCTGGCATTGGACGGATCATTGGCCACGTAGGAGCTTGTATCGTGCGTCTTCCCGTACATGATGATTTGCTTGAGTGCGAGGAGTTTTTGAGTTGTCGATGCTTGGTATGGTGTCGACTGCTATTAGTAGGTTCTGCGGCGTTCTCATCTTGATGTATGTTTCGGAAAGTTCTTGCTTTGTAAGACCTATAGCATCTCAGGTAGGCGAATTCAAAGGTGGTGCGGTTGGTGTTGTCAGTGAGTTTCATTACGACCGTCGTCGGATAGTCTTGTCGGGGCGCCGGTGATGCGTACTTTCAGTCGCGTTGATCACCGGAGGTTGTGGGATTTTTGCTAGCTACCAACTAACACAGGTACCGATAGAGTAACCAAAGGATTGTCTCAACAGCGGCGATATCTCAAAGGAGACGTCAAACCTAGTAGCCCGCGGTCCCCACATCTCCGCGGCAATGTAGACGAACGTTTAGGGCTACATTACCGCGGGTCGGTTCGATTAATTACCTCCGTCGGTGCCAATGATCGTCTACCTTGTCTCACTCTCTCGAATATAGCGGAAGAGAAGACACACGTACCAGAGTAAGGACAGAGTCCAAGAGCATTTATTAACATACTCTTTTAAACGAACTACAATGTCCCCATCCAAAATGCCCCCCGCGCCGGCAAGGTAAGAAAAGGTCCTTACCTGGCCAGACGCGGGGGTTCCGGAGGGCCGAGACCGGGGAAGCATCGGAGAAGTCGCCGACGCACGTCCTATCTCTTTCGCGGTCACCCGGACGAGTCCCCTTTCCCGAAAGCGGGAAAACAAGAGGCGAAACCTCCTCGCCTGTCGGCAGTGATTCGCATCCGAGCGGGGAGACGGAAGAGGTGCCCCCGGGAGAGAGTGAGAGGAGGGCCCCCCAAGCCAGGCGGCCCTCCGCCTCACGAACAGGTCGGAGCTCACGGCGAAGAAGGCCGAGCGTTCCGACCCGCGGCCGTTATCGCAGCCATCGGGGAAGGGAGACCAGAGGAATCCCCACATCCCCCCCTCCTTAAAACGGTAGGTGGGTCTCAATAAAGAATAAAGGAGGCCCACCTGCTCTCATAAAATAATATATCTCTCAGCATCCCCAACAAATACACGCGACACCCCCCGCGCGTCTTCACAGTGTCCGTCGTCAACAGCTCAGGCACCAGGCCGAAAAAAGGAAAGTTCCAGTTCCAAGCACTTGACAGTCGCCGCCACAGCACGGCAGAGCATCACAGGCACCGCGCTGACGCCGCTGGACCCAGGTGTCGTGGTACGAGCTGGCCTGCAGTGGGGGGCAGCCAGGCGGTCGTGAAGGCGGCAGCACCAAAAAAGACCAACGACCGCCGCCCACCAGCGGAGACCAGCTGGGGAAGTCCCAGACACGCCGCCCGGGGGGTTCGGCGCCATCTCGGCCGCAGTGGGCTGGTGAAGGGGGGTGGACGACCTCAAAGCAGACCTGCGAAGTCGAAATGCGCCAGCAGCCAACACGCCCAGAGCCGGCCGTAGACCTCCCGAAAGGGAAGAAAGGGCGCCGCAACGTCCAAACGAGGGGGCGCGCGCAACCGACGCTCGCCTGCCTCGGGCCGCAAAGGCGGCAGAAACGGGCAGGGGCAAACGACAAACAAAAACCACAAAAAAGGTGGCCAGTTTGTCAACGGTGACAGGAAGGCGCTCAGTTGGGAAACGGACCCGACGAGCGGTCAGAGGACATATGCAAGAAACACGCTTCGACACCGGAAGAAGCCATAAAAAGGGGCCCCTCTGTTCGAAACGCGTCCAGATACCAAGCAAACTAAATGAGTTCGCTTCATGTGGGCACCGGGGAGAGAGCTTCTAGGAAAAAAAAACCGAGTTCTCAATCCTTTGCGCAGGCAGCTAACACAGAGGCTGCCTACAATACCCGGTTTTATAGTTACCGGAAGAGTCCGTTGACTATAAGTGGCCAAAAACAGATAACAGTCTGCAGCTGGCCCGTCTTCTGAAGTCGAGGTAAAGGGATACGGGGACTTCGAAGGGGCGGATAGAAAGAAACCGCCATGCATGCGCGTCTGCGAGCGGGGAAGATGCAAGTTCCCGCGCAAAATAGCCGCCATCTTGCTCCCCACGGAGGAAGACAAAAGGGGCCGCAGCTCACACGCTCAAACCTGCCAGCTTTGCCAAATTTTTGAGCTAGCTAGCTTACCGAGGCTAGAAAAACATGTCTTGCACTCGATACGGCTTGATCAAGGGCTCACAACGGTGTGGACCCTTCTTTTGAGGCAAGACCAGGTTTCAGAGCACCGTAACTCCTAAGAGTCTTAGAGTCGCTCTTCCACCTGGATCACGCGAGTCTGACAGATATCGCCAAAGGACGCTCTGACTACATGGCGCCCGGGGTTCAGAGCAACATAACCTCCGAAAGTCTTAGAGTCACTCGTCCACCCAGATACTGTTACAGTGCGCCTCAGACCGCGTAGCGCCACCACCATGAACGCAAAACTAGTGTCGTTCTTGGAAAACAACAACAGGCTGCAGGAGTACGTTGGCATCAAGCAGAAACGAATCTTTCCCGAAGAAAACCCTCCGCGCCCACTGCAATACCAGCAGTGAATCCAGCGCGCGCGTCAACAGTATGCAAACTGCTTCTCGACGCCGACGGTTACGCGGCCCGGCTCCCGGAGCCCGTCAGTAGCAGTACCAGCTACTTATCGACGTTATTGGCAGGCGTACCGTCCGACTCTAAATGAGTGTCCGCGACTACTCCGAGTCAAAGAAAACGCGAATATTTACATTCCCAGATTGCACTGCTGATCCTTCGTTACTCTTTTCTGCAAAGCCGCGCTCCCTGCCGGACACAAAAGTCTACCCTGTTCTCAAAAACATCATCGAAACTTCTATATACATTTTCCTTTGAGGACAAGTTGTTGGTGGCGCGCAAGGAACCCAAATACACACAGGTGAAGGATTCGCCTCAAGCATGGAGAACAAAGGGTCTCCCGCAACAACGAATGTTGCTTGACGCACGCTAATTCAAAACAGGAACGCGCGTACGAATCACACTGCGCTCGCTCAAAGGAGCGGCACTGCGGGTTGCCGACTCGGCATTAATCGCTCAACCATAAGTGGCGAGATCAGGACGCTCATGGTACGGGGCGATCAAAGGCAAGGAATTGCTGGCAAAGGCCGGACAAGGGGACGGAGGCCAGGAGCCACGACCACGATAAAGGAAGTCGTGGCCCCACGTTGGGCGCCATTTTATGTGGGATTTTTGCTAGCTACCAACTAACACAGGTACCGATAGAGTAACCAAAGGATTGTCTCAACAGCGGCGATATCTCAAAGGAGACGTCAAACCTAGTAGCCCGCGGTCCCCACATCTCCGCGGCAATGTAGACGAACGTTTAGGGCTACATTACCGCGGGTCGGTTCGATTAATTACCTCCGTCGGTGCCAATGATCGTCTACCTTGTCTCACTCTCTCGAATATAGCGGAAGAGAAGACACACGTACCAGAGTAAGGACAGAGTCCAAGAGCATTTATTAACATACTCTTTTAAACGAACTACAATGTCCCCATCCAAAATGCCCCCCGCGCCGGCAAGGTAAGAAAAGGTCCTTACCTGGCCAGACGCGGGGTTCCGGAGGGCCGAGACCGGGGAAGCATCGGAGAAGTCGCCGACGCACGTCCTATCTCTTTCGCGGTCACCCGGACGAGTCCCCTTTCCCGAAAGCGGGAAAACAAGAGGCGAAACCTCCTCGCCTGTCGGCAGTGATTCGCATCCGAGCGGGGAGACGGAAGAGGTGCCCCCGGGAGAGAGTGAGAGGAGGGCCCCCCAAGCCAGGCGGCCCTCCGCCTCACGAACAGGTCGGAGCTCACGGCGAAGAAGGCCGAGCGTTCCGACCCGCGGCCGTTATCGCAGCCATCGGGGAAGGGAGACCAGAGGAATCCCCACAAGGTATCCCCGGCTTGCCGGGACGTAGCCATTTGAGTGGGAGACGAGGTAGGTGCGGGCGGCAGCTGCCACCGCAGCGGCGGTCGCGCTAAGCCTGGTTAAGTGGCAACCAGGCCTAGCGTAGCACGCCCGGAGGGACGCCTCTTCGAACGTTTGTCATCTGAAAACTAGGTTTCGGAACTCCGGGTTTTGGGGGGTTTTTTTCTCGCGATGTCGGAGACGATTTCTGACTGCTGTGTGGACGTGTGATGATTTCAGAGGTCGGAACCGGGGTGTACAGTGAATTATGTTAACGCGTCCATTCATTTCGAGCACTTCATCTTTCCTGAATGAGATGGCGTCATCAGAGAAGGCCCAGATTGGATACGACGATTGTGTCAACGTTCGGCTCAAACTTGACTCAAAGCTGAGCGCTGACGCAGCACTCGTTTCCAATTTGTGTCCAGCGTTGGCCTTGGCTGATTACGCCATCTCATTGTGCACTACGGCCTTGCTATCTAGGAGGTGTTGCACGGCGGCTCAACCCCTATGGCTCCGCGCCCGCTGTGCGCGTGACTTTGCCAAAAACAAAGTGGCTCGTTTTGACGAAAACCCGGCGGCGTCTGTCAGTTTGTTAGCGCCGGAGAGAGGAGGAAGGGTCGACGCGTGCTGACGTCAGCGCGTCGAACCAATGGGAGCGTGCACGCGCCACCCTCTCCCCCTCCTTCTCAATCCCTTTTCGGCGCAAGACACCGCCGGGTTTTCGTCAAAACGAGCGTTCTAATGCTAAAGCATTAAAACGAAATATTCCCACCTGTTAAAAACCTCTCTGAAGAGCGGATCGATCCAAGCCATCTGCTTGGTGATATCATCCAGCAAGGTCTCCAGAATGGCAACATTGGAAGCGGTGTCGTCGTCGTCCAGCGTGATCGACTTGTGGACCTTGTCGAGCTCAGTCAAGAGCTTGGCGTTGAGCTTTCTCTCGGCTTCGTCGAAGTATAAAAATGAAGCCATTGCTGACTATCCCATGGACTTGGATGGTTGTTCCGTTTGAACCACTGCATAAAGTCATAATGATACTTTCAACGCGCACCCCATTTTTTTTCTTTTTTTTTTTTTTTTTACAGAGAACTCCCGTTTAAACGGCGCTCCTTCTTTCCGATTGGTCGAGGCAAGTATAAATATATAGAGGGGGCAACCCGCGTGAGGCAGCCTTCCTTGGCATTATTAGATGGTGAAGTCCTGTTCCCTTGTTATCATCTACGGTCACCGACTTATCTCAGCTAAGAGTGCGCCGTGACGAAGCTGAGGGCAGAAATCGCCGATACAGCCTTCTTTTCTTTTTTTTTTTTTTCGCTTCCGCGATGCTGATAAAGAGACTTGGGCTCAATCGAAAATAAGGACAATTAAACAACGAAGTCGTGTACGTGTCTTCATTGCAATCATATGCAAATCGTATAGATGTCGGGAATGAAATTCGCAAGAAATAGTGTAAGAAGAAAGAAAAAAAGGGGACAGGACAACGTCTCAAACTCAGCTCAACAGAAAACTCAGCTCAGGACAACCTCTCAAACTCAACTCAGCTGAGTTTGAGACGTTGTCATGTCCCCTTTTTTTCTTTCTTCTTACACTATTTCTTGCGAATTTCATTCCCAGTCTCGGAATTTTGCATCATGACCAACATACACCAGCCCGCCTGCACCTTGACATCCTTTTTTTTTTTTTTTTTTTTTTTTTGTAATTGCTTTGGAGGTTTATTTTCTGGGGTGGAAGAAACACCGAGCAAAAAGCGAAGAAGCTGACGCAACTTGAGGTCGAGGAGCGTTCTACCATACCAGTTGCGTCGGAAGAGGAAAAATGTGTGTGGGGGGGGGGGGGCGGGGGGGGGCGGGGGGGGGGGGGCGGGGGGGGGGGGCGGGGGGAGCTCCAGTCTCTCCCCTTCCCCCTTCCCAGATATTTCGGACTGTTAAAGAAAACAATACGGGGAAAGAGGGCATGGTCGAGCTTATTTTAGTCTGAAATTATTTATGCATATGTATAGCTACTGTCGCTCTTCACTGCAAAAAAGATCGCGTAGATGGTCATTGTTAAGGCCGGTTCTCACATGCAGCGAAGCGCTGATGTAACGCTGCTCACGTCCCGTCAGGTATTTATCGTATGCCTTGAGCAACAGTTTGGACGGTGCGATACAAAGCTGGTGAACGCTCCCGTCGGCACGTGCTTAGCACGAGGTCAGCGCTATGCTTGTAGCGCTCCGCTGCATGTGTGAACAGGCCTTTAGAAACTCGTTGTCAGGAGGCACTACTCGTCACATGCTCGGTGGCTCGAAAGTTCAAAGCTATGTCTTTTCGACCTAAATAACTGTGCCATTGGTAAAAAATAATCAATAAATAAACATGACAATAAATTTAAAAAATAAAAAGTTGGAGAGAAAAAAAAACTATCAAGAATCCGCCGGAAATGTTGCCTTCTTGCATATTGAGAGGCCCAAAACTATGAAACAAGTTTCTCCTACCAAAATGTGTAGAGGCCAAAAAAAAAACACGTCCCAAAAACGTAAAATGAGAAAAAAAAACTTTTTTTTATGACGTGCTGAACTTGAACAATTTTAGAAATCTTCCCCCATGAGTTAATTTATTCCTCAACGTGAGAAAAACAATAAAAGCATTATTTTGTATTCTGCAGATGGTAATGATATATACTGTCTCTGGTGTTAATTTAAATGCGATACCTCTAACAATGCAGGCGAAAAAAATTACCAAGTTTAGGGCATAATTGCCCGTAGGTACATGTTTGGATATTTCTTCGAAACTCGTCTTGAACAACAATAATCATATCTTAAGACTACACTTACCTAGGTTATACAGAGATCATTCTTAAAAAGTTAAACATCTCTACCATAAATATCTTCGGCTATAGCGCGCTTCAAATATGGCACAAATGACAATTGTCAAAAACCCGTCGTCGTTCCTCGCTCCTTCGGGAATCTATTTTTCTAAAACCAAGCATGCCAGATGATTGAAATTAACGGCATTGTCTTTCGCAAGGAATGCGTCACCCCATGTAAAATTGCAGAAAAAAAAAATTACAAATGTATACCTCACGGCTTGAATCCAAATAAAACCGCCCGCCGGCCTTTCGAAGTTCGACGAGCTTCGAACTTTTACCCTAAAAGTTCGAAGTTCGGCTAACTTTTGACTTTTCAGGAATCGAGAGTTCGACAATTTTCGATTTCTTCATATTAATAAGGTCGAAAGTTCGAAAATTATCGAATTTCTTAGCATAGGAAGTTCGAAAAGCTTCGAACTTTTTAGTGTAAGAAGTTCGAAAGTTCGAAAATCATCGCATTTTTTGGTTTATCAAGTTCGAAAGTTCGACAAGCATCGAATTTTGCAGCGTAATAAGGTCGAAGCTTCGAAAGGCGTTAAACTTCTTAGTTTAATGCTCGCCGGCTGCTCATCACGAAAATTTCAAGGGTTGCTCGCCGGCTGTGCATCACGAAAATTTCATATCGAGAAATTCGACTTCTGTCGAATTTCTCGATATGAAAAGTTCGACAATTCGCAATCTTTCGAACCTGTCGAACCACTTGATTCGATCATCGAAACTTCGATTCGAAAAAAGTTCGCGGCATCCCTATTTCTTACACGTATTGACCACACAGGAGGAAAGAAGAGTAGTGGGGGAGGAGGCACCGGAATATATTAGGCGGACAATCGAAGAGGCTTTCTCCCAGCTTGAGCAGAGGGGGACAGTGGGCAGCACCGATAGCACCGGTGTAGAGGAGGAGCAGAATTATGTAAAAATGGAGACGACCACAAGAGAGTGGGATAAGGCAGAAAGTAAGGTTCCAGCGGGTACAGCGACAGGTCCAGACGATAGACCGTACCCATATAACTCATTAAGACACTGGGAAAAACAAGCAAATTGAAGTTACGGTTTGTGACTAATCAAATAATTATGCGAGGAGAGGTACCTAATGATTAGAAACTAAGGTGAGACTAATATATAAAGGCAGAGGAAACAAAGACAACATTAAGTCATATCGCCAGATAACGGTAACTTCAGTTCTACACAGATTAGCTATGCAGATAGTAAAGCTAAAGCGGAGAATGCAGGAATGGGCAGAAGCTATGCAAATAACTGAGTGAGCTACGAAACGGATTCCGGAGAGAAAGAAGACTAGAAGATAACTTATTCGTCACCACACAATGTATAGAAATAGCAATGAAGAACAAATTTTTTTTTTATGGTTAGCTTATTTGGACATCAAGGGAGCGAACGAGATTGTGAGCCAGGAAAACCTCTAGGGTCAGCTGAAGGAGTAAAACTTAGATGCAAATCTGGTTAGGTTTCTTCAGCAGGTATACACAGAGAATGAGGTAGTTATAACATGGGAAACAGAATATGACGGTATTTTTAAAAATAAGTAAACTTGAAATAAATACATTATTCCTTCAGGATACGTTGTCCAGCTCGGCAGGTGTAAGTACATGCGAGTGAAGTGTTCATAAGGTTCCTAATTCCCAAGAAAACACGAATTAACTTTTCGCATTTTGTTTTAGCCACCATGTTTCAATTAAAGATTTGCAACCCGTTGGTTACAGAGGCCAAATCAGTTGAGATATTCAAAAGATTAATAATATAACTTTCAGTTATTTTGTAGCGAATTTTGGCAATCACGGAAGAGGGAAACCGAAATTAACTCGGAAAAAGCGCGCTAAGGGCAGAGATAGTTGCACACCGGAAGAGGCGTTAGGGCGTGGCATCTATAGTGACGCGTACGTTGCTGTCAGCACGTGACCAAAAGCTTTGGACCAATTCCAAATCGGCTCATATATATATATATATATATATATATATATATATAGCTTAAAAGATTTCTTTCAAAAAAAGCCATGAAAGTTACACTTATGCGGTTTTTGCAAGTGATTTATAGGGCCAGGGAGACATAGTATAGGGGGATAATCGTAACGATCAGTCGGCTAATTAATTAAACTTGTTAATTACATTTTTTTTTATTTATTAATAAAAGATAGACGTATGGTTTCAATTAGAAACTTGCTGAGCGTCATCGAAAACCACTAAATCAGTAATTTCCAGAAAGACTTTGAGCGCGTGAGAAGCGTAGTAGTGCACTAAAGTTATCACTCGTGGAGCAGGTACAAGGCTAGCGGTTGCGGAACGTGGATGATTACATTAGGGAGTTCTCGTAGATCGTTTTCGCCATCCCGCAACACCCTCCGCGACCCTACGATACCCGAAACTCTACAGTCAAGACTATCGGCGCGCAGGCGCAGTAGCAACTTCGTTGCGGAGGGCTTAGCGTAATGGGAAACTCCGCGAAGCCCTTCTATACCGCTGACAAAAGTTCTTCGAAAGAAAGGATAATGCGCGAGAGAAATAGAAACTACCCGGGACCACAAAGTTTACACTACTGCCCAATTGATGGCGCCAGTGTGTCCTCTCATCGAGGTTTCTCGGTTCCAAGAGTCGAAAGGCAAGACTCGGTCGAATATGGAATCCTTGGGACTTGATTTGTTGAGCAGACACAGGAACGTCCTTTCGTTTCGGACAACATAGAGGACTGTTCGTTCTTTCAACTTTGCAACGCGACAGGTGACACGGACGACACGGAAAAAGGAATCGACGTGCGGGGTAAAAAGAGAGGCAGATTATCGGATGATCGTTGGCGCCGAGTCCCGCCAGTGGAATTCGTACGGAGGACGAAACAGACACTTGCAAGAAAATCAAAACATACTACAAAATACACGATTCGTCGTGAAAGCACCTGATAAGTGCGTTCGAACAGGCCACCGCGCTCGCCCACACCTTTTTGCCTTGTTTTACTACAATTTCTACTTCCCCAGTTGTTTTTCTCTTGGATATGGATGGCGTACTTACACCTCTTTCGATCGCGTGAGTTGTGCCACTGGTGAAAGAACAATAAAGAACCACCGCGCCGCGTCCAAAAGCAAGCGATCACGCCTCACATTCCTAGTATCACGTGACGTTCACGTGCTGCTCAGTGGCGCCTCCTAGCGTGATTTTCGCCG